AAGCCCCTCCATCCGATCCCTGAAGTCTGTTCTCCGTGCAGCCGGCAGGAGCCTTTCGGAGCACAGAGCCAGGTCCGTCGCTCCTCCGGGCAAAGCCTGGCAAAGGCTCCCCAGCTTCACCGGAACCCAGCCCTCCTACCGGGTCTGCAGGGCCCATTATGACTCTTGTACCTCCTCTCCGGTCCGGTCACCCCCTCTGCTCCCCCCCCCTCCCCCGCTCACGCCAGTGGCCACGCTGTGAGGAAGCCCAGGCAGCTGCGCCCCCCCCGGGGGGGGGGGGAGAACCGAGGACCCACCCGAGAGCCCAGCTGAGCTCCCAGCTTGTCGCCAGCTTCAAGGGCCAGCATGTGAGGCAGGTCATGTGATCCCGGCCGTCCTGGGAAGTGGGGAACTCCCACCCCCACCCCACAGAGTCCCCACAGCCATGGCTGTGCTGCGCCACTGAGTTTGGGGATGGCTTGTTATACAACAACAAACAACCTAAACAAATGTCCAACTGAGGACTGGCTTTTAAAATGAATTTTAGCCTCGCTGGTGGGCTCAGTGGTTGAGCTTTGGCCCATGTATGAACCTGGAGGTCAGGGTTTGATTCCGGTCAGAGTACACGCCTGGGTGGTGGGCTCAGTCCCCAGTGTGGGGCATGTAGGAGGCAGCCAATCAACCATTCTCTCTCATCATTGATGTTTCTATCCCTCTCTAAAATACATATATTTTAGAGGCCCAGTGCATGAATTCGTGCATGGGTGAGGTCCGGCCAGCCTGGCCAGGGGGAAGGGACATGGGTGGTTAGCCAGCCTGCCTGCCGGTCGAACTCTTGGTTGAGAGGACAATTTTCATATTAGCCTTTTGGTATATAGGATGTACACTGAGTGGCCAGATTATTATGCGCTCAGAGATCATCATCGTCTGGCCACTCCTTGTACATGCTAATGACATGAAGACACACAGGCACAGACGTGTACACGAATGACAGATTGTGTTAGCATGTGGGTGGTTTGTTCTATGGGCGTTCCTGTGTTCCGTTTTCCTCTTTGGCTTGTCTACCTTTTCTCCTCCCCACAGACACCCCTACACCCCAGATGCTGTCACCTTGGTTTTCTGAGCTTTCATGCTATGGTGGGAAGGGGCTACTATGTCATAAAAATGCGATCAAGACTACGATACATTCTCTTGTCTGTGCTTTGCCGTTCTGACCTGGCAGTCCCTCCAGGTCCCCTGCAGAACTCCCGCTCAGGCTTTTGAATGACTGCGTGTTCCCGCAGCGTGGGGTTCCCGGCCATCACCCGCTCCGGGCGTGCACGGGTCCGGCAGCCTGGTGTTAATTTTGTGAGCCGGTTGTTAAACGCAGCCAGTGAAGACTGAAATTCTATAAACATACAGTAAATGCATTGAGAATGGGGGTCATGCCTCCGCCAACGTGCTGTGTAATGGCCTCTGCATCTCTTCCCAAGTCGGTGGCTGGACAGGTCACATACATGTCACACGCATGTCACACACGTCACAGCGCAGCTTAAAGGGGGCCGTGGTGAGAGTGTCCACGCCACGAAAACTGGCACACATGACAACGCTCGTTCCTCTTGGAAGCTGGGGCCTGGCCCTTCCCTGCAGACTCACTGGCTGGAGAGGCATCCAGCCATGTTCTGGGTCCCCCCTACCTCCCCCTGCTCCCCTCACCGCCCACACCACCTGCCCTGGGGGAGGGCTCACACCCGCACCAGCGACAGGGCGAGGCTTGCACAGGATGGGAGTAGCCCTTCCTCCCCCTCTCCTCCCCCTCCTCCCTCTTCTCCCCTCTCCCTTCCCCTCCCTCCCCTCCCCTCCCTCCTCCTCCCCTCTCTCCCCTCCCCTCCCACTCCCCTTCCCTCTCTTCTCTCCTTCCCCTCCCTTCCCTCCTCTTCACCCCTTCCTCCCCCTGCCCCTCCCCTCCCCTTTCTTCTCCTCCCCCTCCCTCCCCTCCCCCTCCCTTCCCTTCCCCTCCCTTCCCTCCTCTTCCCCCCTTCCTTCCCTCCCCTCCCTTCTCTCCTCCCCCCTCCCCTCCTCTTAGCCCTTCCCCTCCCTCCCCTCCCCCTCCCCTTCCCTTCCCCTCCTTCCCTCCTCTTCCCCCCTCCTCCCCTCCCCTCCCCCTCCCCTCCCTTCCCTCCTCTTCCCCCCCTCCTTCCCCCTCCCCCTCCCCCTCCCTGGCAGTGACAAGAACAGGGCAGGGACCAGCTGACGGACACTCTTTATTAAAACCCAAGGACATCGTTATAAAAACTACTGTGTATAGAAAGACAAAAGCAGTGCAACAGCGGTCAGTGTAAGACACGGCGTCGTGGGACGTATATTGTCAGGAATATTGTTATCAGGAGTAATATTGGTTTTTGGTTTTCCCGGTGACCGGCTCGGAGCCCCCGCCCTGCCTGTTCCCGTGGTGACGGGCTCCCCGGGGAGGGGACGCCTCTGCCCACCGGGAGCTGCGGGCCCCTGTCCCGCCGGCCCCGGGGCCCCAGCGCCCCCTCGAGGTCCCCGGGGTTATTGCACATCCCCAGGCCCTGCCCCTCGGTAGCTGGGCGGTGATGTATCCCGCCCCCCCACTTCCCCCTCCCGGCTCTGACACGGAAACGGGAGAGAGACGGGAGAGACCGCACGTGAGGAGCCGGGAGTGAGGAGAGGCCCTTCTGGTCGCTGGTGGGTGCCGGCGTGGCCACCCTGTGCCGGGCACCCTCCGTCACTCCCACCACGCGCCCGGCCACCTGCCTCGGCGTCTGGTCCTGTGTGTGCAGAGGCAGGTGAGGGCACTCAACGGGGCCCTCACTGCACAGCCCCGGAGCCACTGCTCCCGTGAACGGTGGGGAGCCAGCCCCTGCGCCCCACAGCCAGCCCCTGTGCCCCACAGCCAGGAGTGGTGCCCCACAGCCAGCCCCTGCGCCCCACAGCCAGCCCCTGCGCCCCACAGCCAGGAGTGGTGCCCCACAGCCAGCCCCTGCGCCCCACAGCCAGCCCCTGTGCCCCACAGCCAGGAGTGGTGCCCCACAGCCAGGAGTGGTGCCCCACAGCCAGCCCCTGCGCCCCACAGCCAGCCCCTGCGCCCCACAGCCAGGAGTGGTGCCCCGCGGCGGGCAGGGGGCCGGGGTTCAGCTGTCGGGCACACGGGCGGGGCTCTGACGTGAAGATGGGAGCATTAGGGCCACAGCCACCGCCCACACCCTTCAGTCTAGCACCAGCTGCCGGCGGGGTCCTGGGCCGGAGACTGGGGCGGGGACACACACACACACACACACACACACACACACACACCTCCAAGGTCACTGTCGTGGACGGCGAGGTAAGTGCTCCCTGTCGCTCTGTGCTCTAAGCTTCCCTGGGCACACCTCTGCCCTGCCGCCCCGCCCGGCGGGCCTGCTCCCGGCGGCCTGCTCCCGGCGGGCGCGGGCCGCGGGCAGGGGCTGCTGAGTGGGTGCGTGAATGCGCGTGGACAATGGATCTCCAGGGCCTGGCATCACTCCTGCCGCCCTCGGCGTGAGTCTCAGGCCCTGACCCCGAGCTGCGTGCGCCCGCCCCCCGCCCTGCGGGAGGAGGCTGGGGCCCGCCTGGCTGCGGGGGGTGAGCAGCGTCTGCGGTGGGCAGGACACGGCACCCCCCGCCTGGGGAGGTTCCCGCTGCAGGTGGCAGCGGCCACAGTGCCGCCTCCCCCCGGCTCTTGGCCGCCCCCTGACCTTTCAGATGTCTGCGGGGACCAGGCAGACACCCTCTGACCAGGAGCCCCCGGGAGCCGCCGCCACCACCCCACCCGATGGGAGGGCAGGCGAGGCCCCGGGCGGCTCAGCTGGCACGCTGCCTCCCCGCCAGGCCTCGCCTGCGCCGCCCAGCGCTCTCTCCCGCCGTGGAACCCACCAGCCGGGCGGAAAGTACCAGAAGCAGCACCGTCTCTTCCAAGCCCGTGGCCCCGGAGCCTGTCTCCGGCACCGCCCCCCGCAGACGCGGGCGGGAGGGCAGGGCCAGGGCACCTTCCTGGCGGGACAGGGCTCGTGGGCTCTGCTGGGCCTGGGGGCGGTCCCGGGCACGGCCACCCCACGCCTCATGTCTGAAGGGACCTGCGTGGGACCTGGACCTGCTGGAGAGCCGGCGAGCACCTCAGCGGAGCCTGCACCTCCATTTCTGGCCACGTTTCCCCTGACACCCCAAGTCCTTCCTCCCGCTGCTGGGCCCCCGGCCCACCAGCTGCCTGCGGCTGTTTTCCTAAAGCAACGGAGACCGCGAGAGAGGCGGGATCTACCTGCAGAATCACGTGTGGCGTGTGCGTGCCTGTGTGCGTGCACAGCGCCTGTGCGTGTGTACATGTGTGTGTGCATGTGTGTGTGTGTGCATGTGTGTGTGTGTGTGTGTGTGTGTGTGTGTTGGTTAAGGCCTGTTTCATTTTGGACCTGCTCAGCTCCGAGGCGGCCGGGCAGCGGGAGCTCAGAGTGAGGGGAGGGCGAGGGGCCGGGGCCACAGCTCCGGGTGCGAACAGAGTCCGGGACGCAGCGCACCCCACCGGCCCAGCCTGGAGGGGAAGCAGCTGCTCGGGACGGCGGCTCCCGCGGGAAGAAGCGCTGACGGACCGGAGTCACGCAAAGCACCGGAAACCAGCTCCCGGGCGGGTGTCCCCCCTGCTTCTCTCTCTGGGTCATTCCTGTCACCGTCACAGACGCCGGGCCACAGCCGGCAGCTCCCGTAAGAACGAAACGGAGGCACCGGGCCAGCCGGGGAGTCGCTGCAGATGGCCAGCTCTGTCCGTCCCTCTCGAACTTGTCAGACCCCACTGGCATGTCCCCCACACTCTCACCCCCTCACCTCCGCACGAGGCAGCGAGGGCTGTGGCCTTCCCCCGTGCCCACCCTGCGCGTGTGCCAGATGAGAAACTGAGGCTGAGAGAGGAGGGGGCTTGCCCAAGGCCACGGGGGGGGGGGCTGTCACTCTGCAGGCTGCCCCGCCCCCTGCAGGCTGTCACTCTGCAGGCTGCCCCCCCTCCCCTGCAGGCTGTCACTCTGCAGGCTGCCCCCCCTCCCCTGCAGGCTGTCACTCTGCAGGCTGCCCCCCCTCCCCTGCAGGCTGTCACTCTGCAGGCTGCCCCGCCCCCTGCAGGCTGTCACTCGGGCTGCAGAGCAGGGGCTCCAGCCCAGCGGGTCCACGGGACAGTGCCCTCTGGCCCAGGCCCCCGGGCAGGAGGCACGGCCGCCAGCTCCTTTGGCAGAGGAAGGGTGAGCGGCTGCCTCACCCAGAACCTGGGGAAGCTCCCGGTGCCAGCCTGGCCCTCCTCCCTCCTCCCTCCTCCTCCCTCCTCCTCCCTCCGGGGCACGGAGGGCAGCGGGCAGGGACCTGCAGGGGTGGTCACACTGCTCCTCACGCAGGCCGCCCTGAGCCCGGGGACAGGCTCCTGTTTCCGAGGCCCCGCACATGGGGCGCGGGAGGGGCTGCATGGCTGCCCGCACGCCCTCCCCGGCCACCGCTTCTCTACAGACACGGCCCGTGTCCTGGCATGACTGGCACCCGAGGGAAAGGAATCAAGACCCCAAGCGAAGGCTCCCCGACTTGGCCCTGCTGAGCTGGCGCCTGGGCTCGGGCGCCACAGGCAGGAGGAGAGGGACTGAGGCCTTGGCCTGCGTCTGCCCCAGCCTGCCCGGGGGCCTTGGGCAAGCCCCACGGCCGCTCTGAGCCTCAGTTTCCCAGCCCATAAAATGGGAGAGTCCCTTCTCGGCGGGGCTGTTTGGAGGCTGAAGAGCCAGGTGGTCTGCTAACACTTCACACCAGGCGGCTCTCTCTGCTCCATCTGAGCCTGGGGCGGACACAGTCCAGGCCCTCACCCTCCCCTGCACCCTCCCACTGGGCCCTCCCACTGGGCCCTCCCGCTGGGCCCCGCCCCCAGGTCTCCTCGGACTCCCAGACCTCGGAGCATGTGCCGCCTCCGCCCGGCCCTGGCTGTGCCCGCGGCCTGCCATGCTCCTCCCACCCCAGGCTGGCTCTGGCTTAGCGTTCAGATCTGGAAGCTTGCACTCTGGTTCCTACACCCCTGACATCTGACCTGCGGGCTAGCCCCCCGTCACAGCGTGGCCCTGGCTCCCTCCTCGCTCGGAGCTGCTTCTGCAGGGGGCTCCCCGCCCCCTGGCCGGGGAGACAGCAGCTGTGCACAGACCCCGCCGGGCGCCTGCCCTCGGACAGGCAGACCCGCCCTGTGATCACTGTGCTCTGGGCCTGGCTCTGTGACCTGGACCCGCCCCGGACAGAGTCTTCAAACCCGGCGTCCGCCCAGGACACAGCAGCCCCGGGCCCTGCCGGCCCCTCCGGCGCCCAGCTGCCCCTCCGGCGCCCAGCTGCCCCTCCGGCGCCCAGCCGCCCCCTCCGGCGCCCAGCTGCCCCTCCGGCGCCCAGCTGCCCCTCCGGCGCCCAGCTGCCCCTCCGGCGCCCAGCTGCCTGCCGTACAGAACCCTGGTGCCTGGGACGCTGGCGAGGACCCTGCCGCACGGGGGCGCGTGCCCCTCCGAGAACTGGGAGGGACCCAATAAGAACCAGACAAACGAAAGGACACCCAAGTCACATGCACGCACACACACACACACACGCGCACACACACACACACACACACATACGCACACACACACACGCACACACACGCACACACGCACACACGCACACACACGCACACGCACACACACACACACACACGCACACACACACACGCGCGCGCGCGCACACACACACACACGCACACGCACACGCACTGTTCTGACCGGCACGGCCCAGGAGCCGCGATGGGAGGGGACGGGCCGAGGAAGCCGCAGACGCACAGGCCGGCATCCTGCCGTCGGGGCCGGCCGGCCGGGGCAGCCTGCGCTGGCCGCCCGGAGTCCACGGGGCCTCACTCCCCGAAGCCCCCGGCCCAAATGGGACTATTGCTGTAGACAGGCGGCTCGGCACCCCTCCCCGCACCCCCGCCTGAGTTTGCTCCTGGTCTTAAAGTCTGCAGGACGGGGTGCGGGTGCAGGCGGTCCCTCCTCTGCCTCCGGCCGCCGCCTCGCTCTCCCCGGCGTCTCCGGTGAAGGTGTCCTCCGTGGAGGCCGCCGGCGCTGCAGGCCTCCCCTCCCGGTCCTGAGGCAGGCGACGGGGGCTTCTGGGGGAAGCAGAGGAAACAGGACATCAGCGGTGTCTCCCCCAGCGGGACACACGGGGTACCTTTCTCTCAGACCCCGTGCCAGGAGGAGCCAGTTTTCCTCTCAGCCATGACCTGCCTTTGTCTTCTGGGAACTGAGAAATGTTTGACTTTACGACTGGAAGCTAGACAAGCTAGCCTGTTCACTAACCTATGTAATTCTATATAATAAAAGGCTAATATGTAAATTGTCCCCTCCACTGGGAGTTCGACCAGGGGGAGGGCTGGCTGGCCAACTGCCCGTGGCCCCTCCCTCCAGCTGGCCCCGCCCCCGATTGCCCCCCCATCCTGAATTGGAGCAAGCCAGCTGAACCCCACCCAGGCACGAATTTGTGTACAGGGCCTCCAGTGGTTCCATATATCGATAGTACTAGCAACCCTGTTCCATGCAATAAGACAAGAAAAAAGCATAGTGTGTTGGAGATTCCCCAAACCAACTATTTGCAAGTAAGACACGTAGAAAATTCCAGAGAATCTCTAATCTAATAGCGCAGGCTGACTATTAAATTAGAGAGCACAGACATTTTCCATCTGTGAGACATCAGATCCACTCACAAAACCACCAGTGTTCCTCTCCCTCAACAACACGCCTTGGCTTGGGACAGTCCCAGTGAACAGCTGTTGTTCTGACATAATTTCTAAAAATATATATATTTTATTGATTTTCTTTACAGAGAGGAAGGGAGAGGGATGGAGAGTTAGAAACATTGATGAGAGAGAAACATCTATCAGCTGCCTCCTGCACACTCCCCACTGGGGATGTGCCCACAACCAAGGTACATGCCCTTGACCGGAATCAAACCCAGGACCCTTCAGTTCTCTCTATCCACTGGTTTCGGCCACCCCCCCGCCCCGCCGCTGCCATTTTTAAAAATAATTTTTGATATGAGATTGAAACATCAGTCTGCTGCCTCCTGCACACGCTCGACGGGGGACTGGGCCCGGCACCCAGCCATGCGTCCTGACTGGGAATCAAACTGGCACCCACTGAGCCACCCTGGCCGGGGAGGGCCACTGCATCGTATCCAGGCTCCTCACTGACAACCCCTCCTGCGCCGAGCTCCAGGGCGAGCTGTCCGCAGGGGGAGGCGGAGGGAGGCTCTGATGGGGCCACACAGCCCATCTTTCCGGAGCGGGTCCTCCTCAGGGGCTGAGCCAGCCCCGGCTCTGCACGGCGGGGCGCGGGGCGCGGGGCGCGGGGCGCGGGTCCCAGGGCCCGGCTCTCTCCTCCCAGCACACGGCTCTCAGCACGCCTCCGGCCTCGCTGGCGGCCTGGTGGACGGCTCGCCTCTCCCTCACCGGCCACAGGAAGCGCGAGGTGCCCGTGGGCGGTGTTTGCTTTTTACCGCCAGGGTGTAGAGCAGCCACTGACACGTAGCAGAGGCTTAATCGATATTTAACGGGTGGCTGGGTGGATGGATGAAGACTTTAAAGCCCAGATGAACCATCCTTTACGTAGAAAGTCAACAGAAAAAAAATATGAACCTATTGTGAATTGTAGTTCCCGTGTCCCTCCTTGTATAATTACTAGAGAACAGACTTAGGGCGGAGGGAGTAACTGCCAGGCGCGCTGGCAGGACCACTCTGCGTCTGAGTCAAACGTAAGGACCGTGACTACTACCGAAAAGAACGAAGGAGGAAACAGAGAACTGATGCAAGTGAGAAATGCAGAGGCGGGAAGGAGAGGTAAACGATGTCTTACTCATTTATAGTTGGAGGTCTAAACACTGATCCTATATAATAAACAGATAATATGCAAATTGACCCTCATGCTCTTACAAGATGGCTGCCTAAGATCAGGCCAGCAGGGGAGTTAGTGAGGGACCACCAAACGTCTGCACGAGTAGGCTGCAGGGGGCAACCAGGTTGGCAGGGGGTTAGTGAGAGACAACCAAATGTCTGAACAGCAGGCTGTGTGGACAACCTGGCTGGCAGTGGGGGGCAGTTAGGGGTGACCAGGACGGCAGGGTGGGGGAGTTAAGGGCAATCAGGTTGACACCCAGAGGTAGTGAGGGGTAATCAGGCCGGCAAGTGGGGGGGGGGGGCAGTTAGAGGCAACCATGCAGGCAGGCAGGTGAGTGATTAGGTCCAGGATTGTGAGAGGGATGTCCAACTGATGGTTCAGGCCCAATCCCTAAACCAGCAGTCAGACATGCCCTAAGGCACATGTGTCAAACACAAGGCCCGCGGGCCAAATCCGTCCCGCCAGGCCTTGCAATGTGGCCCGCACCACGCTGTCATCACTGCACTCCACTGCGTTTCCATCACAATGACAGTTTATGACTGTTCAGTAAACCATTCGGCCCGCGATTTAGGCTGGATTTTAGATTTTGGCCCCTTCTCTGATTGAGTTTGACACCCCTACTAAGGGGTCCTGGATTGATGAGGGTGCAGGCTGGGCCTAGGGGACCCCCCTCCAGTGCATAAATTTCATGCACCGGGCCTCTAGTTTAAATATATTTTTATTTATTTCAGAGAGAGAGAGAGAGGGAAACCTCAATGATGAGAATCATTCATCAGTTGCCTCCTGCACGCTCCCTACTGGTGAGTCAGCCCACAACCCAGGCATGTGCCCTGACTGGGAATCAAACCGTGACCTCCTGGTTCATAGATCAATGCTCAACCATTGAGCCACACTGGCTGGGCCTAAAGGATCATTTAGATGTGTAAATGACATTAGAGGTACAAAGGCAAAGAGAAAAATAACACAATATCATTTGGAGGGAGAAAGGGGAAGTAGACTGTTTTTTTTGGACACTGTTCATAAAAGGGGGGAAATAAACACTGTCTAGCAATAGCTGGCTAAGGGTACAATATCACAGTGTAATTACGGAGATATCCATGGGACAAGAACACAGCTTTCCATATTGTCAGAAGACATACACATAAAAGAGAAAACAGAGGCCATATGGTGAAAATTGACAACCCCCACAAAAAACGATAAAAGCAGAAAGCGTATCAAAACTAAGATGACAGAACCGAGGCCAACTGTGCCTGCCATCTCAGGAAATGGTAATGAGCCACACACTGGCTGAAGGGGAAAAAGACTCTCTCAGCCTTAGCGGGGTCCCACTCCGCAGGGAACCCGGGAGGGGGAAGGATTCCGGGAAGGGTGCTCTAAAAGAACGGACAGAGGACAGGAAGTTCTGGGGATGGCTGAGCCACAAGCACGTGGACTTCCGGCCTCTGGACAGTGCGCGCAGTGGCTCAATGGTACATTTGTTATGTGTTTCATCAAGTTTATTTATTTATTTATTTATTTATTAAATATATTTTATTGATTTTACACAGAGAGGAACTGAGAGGGACAGAGAGTTAGAAACGTCGATGAGAGAGAAACACCGACCAGCTGCCTCTTGCACACCTCTCACTGGGGATGTGCCCGCAACCAAGGTACATGCCCTTGACCGGAATCGAACCCGGGACCTTTCAGTCCTCAGGCCGACGCTCTATCCACTGAGCCACACCGGTCCTGGCATGTTTCATCAAGTTAAAAAAAAAAAAAAAATAGGGCTCTAACCGGTCTGGCTCGGTGGATAGGGCGTCGGCCTTCGGACTGAAGGGTCCCAGGTTCGATTCCGGTCAAGGGCATGTACCTTGATTGTGGGCACATCCCCAGTACGGGGTGTGCAAGAGGCAGCTGATCGATGTTCCTCTCTCATCGATGATTCTATCTCTCTCTCCCTCTCCCTTCCTCTCGGTAAGAAAATCAATAAAATATATATTTTAAAAATAATAAAGAAAAGGGGTCGTTCGTCCAGTGCTCCGTCGGGATTTCACGTTGGGCCACGGCTGTGTTCCTGGGGCTGCCGCTTCCTGTCGGCCGCGGTGGCTGAGCCACGAGAGGCGCCCCCGTGAGGTCCACGGCCACGAGCCCTGAGAGCGGCCGGGGAGCGGGGAGCTGAGCTCGGGGGCGGAGTGCCCTTGGGCCGGAGGGAATGTCTTCGGGTTCAGTTCCACGGAAGTGTGTCACTGCCCCTGCCCCTGACTATTTGAGCTCGGGCATAGTTCCTCTTGATAAATAAACAATTGAGAAATACCGTGGTGGTGGGGGGAGGGGTGGACATAACAAACGAATGCAAACCAAGAGAAACCAGGGGTCTTCATCTGAATAGCAGACGAAGCTGAAGAAGATCATCGATTTCCTGCCTCCTGCACACCCCCGCCGGGGAGCAAGCCCGCAACCATGACCTCCTGGTTCATAGGCCGACGCTCAGCCACTCAGCCACACCGGCCGGGCTGCACAGCCGTCTTGGAGCCGGGCCCTGGGTCTCTCCTGCCTTCACACTGGACTGGGGCTGGGACGATGGGTCCCCCTGGTTCCTCCTGGTTCCCGGGCCTTCCCACTCCAACCAGAGCCTGCGCCACGGTCTCAGGGCCTGCGGGGCCAGCTGCTGGCCCCGGCACTCCCGCCCCATCCCACAGGAGCCGGACCTCACAGCAAACCCCGAGCGACGCTCCCGTCCCATCGGTTCGGGTTCTCCAGAGAAGCTGGGCCACCCACAGCCTGCACCGCAGCTCCCTCTGCTCAGGCACAGCGCCTCCCTCCGCTCCAGGGCACCCATCCCGGGCCGCCTGGAGCACCCTACTCAAGATGCAGGCTCCCTCCCCGCCCCATACCTCCCCCCTGTAACCTCCCCCATAACCCCTGCTGCCCACACCCTGTCTCTCCCCAGCCCGACCCCCACCCAGCAGGTCCTTCTTCACTTGTCCGGGGGCTGCAGAAACGCCCGGCTTTCACCGGTTTGGGCTGCCGCTATGTCCCCAGGGCTGGCCGGGCGGGCAGGGAGCAGCCGGGCCGCAGAGAGAGAACAGATGAACAGACGTTAACGAGAGGACCCCGGGGCCTCCCGCTCAGCCCCGTCAGCGGATCAGAGCATGATGGACGGGGCGGCTTTCCAGGGAAAAGGGAATTACTCCGAGGACCCAGCAGCGGCAGAGGAACTGCCAAGAAGAGAGGG